ATCTTTATTATTATCATTATTATTATTATTAATATTATTATTATTATTATTATTATTATTATTATTATTATATTATATTATTATTATTATTATTATTACTATTAGTATCATTATCATTATTATTTTTTTTCATCATTATAATCATTATTATCATTATCATTATTATCATTATAATTATAATCATTAGTTTTATTATCATTATTATCATTACTACTATTATCATTACCATTATTATAATTATTACCATTATTGTTATTACCATTATTATTATTATCATTATCATTATTGTTATTATCATCACCATCATCAGTTTCATCATCAATATTAAGTTATTTTCATCATCACTTTCATTGTACACTTTATAACATCAATAATAGCAATAGAAATAATGGTAACAATAAAGATAACAATAATGTTGATAATAACATGGATCATAATGATGATAATAATAATACTAATAATAATGATGATAATAGTAATAATGATAATGAAAATTATAATAATAATATTAATGATAAAAACAATAAAAGACAATTACAATAATTACAATAATACTAAATTAACAACAATGATAATAATAATGATAATTATCATAATAATCACAATATCAGGAACACCAATAATGATACTTATAATGATAATAGTGATATAACTGATAATGATGATAATGATAATAGTAATAATGATAATAACACAATAATAACAAGTATAAGAATGATAATAACAATGATAATGACAATGATAATAATAAGAATAATGAAATTAATAATAATAATAATTATAATAATAATGATAATAATAATAATAATAATATTAATAATAATAACAATAATAATAATAATAATAATAATAAATAATAATAATAATAATAATAATAATAATAATAATAATAATAATAATAATAATAATAATAATAATGACAATGATAATAATAATATAATAACAATAATAATGATAATATAATGACAATAATAATAATATTATTATTATTATTATAATCATAATAACAATCATAATGATAATAACAATAATCTTCATGGTAATAATTTATAATAATAATGATATTAATAATAATAATGATGATATTGATAATAATAATGATAACAATAATAAAAAACATGGGTAATAGCTTCAACCATTGTAGTAATAAAAACAGTAATAATGATAATAAAAGTAATAACAATAACAATAACAATAGATAGAAATGATAGTAATAATAATGATGATGATGATGATAATAGTAATTACAGTACTAGTAGTAACAATACTATCAAAGATAACAAAAATGAGAAATAAGTAAAAAGATAAACTGAAAAATAGATTGTTAATTATAATAATCATAAACCTTTAATAATAATTGTGATAATGATGATCGTGATGATGATGAAAATAATGATAACAATAATAATAAATACAGTAATAATAATGATAATAGTAATAGTAGTAATAACCATAATGACAATCATGATAATGATAATAATAACAATAATGATAAAGTAACAATGATAATAATGATAATAATAATCATAATTATAATGATAATGATAATGATAATAATGATAATAAATAATATAATAATAATAATAATAATAATAATAATAATAATAATAATAATAATAATAATAATATAATAAAGATAATGATAATAATAATTATAATAATAATAAAATGATAATGATAATAATAATAACAATAATAATAATGATAATAATAATAATAATAATAATAATAATAATAATAATAATAATAATAATAATAATAATAATAATAATAATAATGATAATAATGATCATGATAACAGTAATGGAAAGAAAAATGATAATGATGATAATAATGACAGAATGATAATGATAATAATAATAATAATAATAATAATGATAATAATAATAATAATAAAGATAATAATAATGATAATGATAATGATGATGATGATGATGATGATGATGATAATAATGAAAATAATAATAATAATAATAATAATAATAATAATAATAATAATAATAATAATAATGATAATAATAATAATAATGATAATAATAATGAATATCAGTAAATGATAACAGTAATAATAACAACAATAATGATAATGATAATGATATTAACAACAACAACAATGATAATGACAGTAATAACAATAATAATAATGATAATAATAATAATGATAATATCAATAATGATGATGATGATGATGATGATATAATATAATAATAATAATAATAATAATAATAATAATAATAATAATAATAATAATAATAATAATATATAATAATAATAACAATAATGATAATAATAACAACAATAACAACAAGGGCATTGATAACGATACTGATGATAATGATAATGATAATATTAACAAAAAAATAATAATAATAACAATAATGATAATGATAATAATAATGATATTAGTAAGCATGATAATGATAATAATAATAGTAACAGTAATAATGGTGTTAACGAATATCTTCAATTATTAAAACAACAATTATAGTAATGATAATAATGTTAATAATAAAAGCAATATTGACAATTACCGTTATAATGATGATGATAATGATGATAATCATAATGATGAAAATTATGATATCAATAATGCTAATAATAATAATAATAACAATGATAATTGTCATTATCACTCATCATTTAACATCAATGATAGTGATGATACTGATATTAACAACAAGAATAATAATGACCATGCTAATGACCATATTATCATTGTCATCATTATCATTATCATTATGATATTATTATTATTATTATTATTATTATTATTATTATTATTATTATTATTATTATTATTATTATTATTATTATTATTATTATTATTATTTTATCATTATATTATTATTATTATTATTATTATTATATCATTATTATTATTATTATACTATATTATTATTATGATAATATTACTATTATTATGATTAGCCTTATCATTATCATTATTATTACTACTAATTATTTCATTATCAATATTGCTATCATCATCATTATAACTGGCATTATCAATATTATTATCATTAACACCTTTATTGTCACTGCCATTTTCATGATTTTCATTATTACAATTATCATTTTTATCATTATTACTATTATTATTATCATTATTATTACCAATGTTGTTATTACCATTATTATTACTATTATCATTATCATTATTACTATTATCACTAATATTATCATTATTATCATTATTATTATTGTTATCATTATCATCATTACCATTAAGATCATTGTCATCGCCATTGCTATCATCATTATTGTTATCATCATCATCATTATTATTGTCTTTCATTATTAATTATCATTATTATTATTATTATTATCACCATTGCTATTATCATATTATCATATCTTCTTTATTATTATCATTATCATCATTAATATCAATCATTATTATCATTATTGTTATTATTATCATCATAATCATCATTATTATTATCATTATTATTATATTATTATTATTATCATTATTATTATTATTATTATTATTATTATTATTATTATCATTATTATCATTATTATTAATTATTCATTATTATTATTATTATTATCATTATTATTTATATTATTATTATTATTATTATTATTATTATTAGTATTATTAGTATTAGTATTAGTATTAGTGTTATTGTTATTACCATTATCATTATCATTATTATTTTTACTCTTATTGTTATTATTATTATTATCATTACTTAATCATTATAATTATTATCATTTCATTATCATTATTATTATATTCATCGTTATCATTGTTATTGTTATAATCATTATTGTCATTATCATTATTGTTGTTATAAATACTATTATTATCATTATAATTATTATTGTTATCATTATCATTATTATAATTATTATTATTATGATCATTATCATTGTTATCATTATTTATGTTATCATTATTATTGCTATTGTTATAATTATTATTATCATTAACATTATGTTATCATTAACATTATTATTATCATTATTGTTATTATTATCATTATCATTATTTTTATCATTATCCTTATCATCATTATCATTAATTTCATATCTACCTTTATCATTACCATTACTTTTGTTATTGTTGTTATTATTACTATTGTTATCATTTTCGTTGTTAATATTATTATTGTTGTTGTAAATATTATCATTGTTATTGTTATCATCATCATTATTATCATTATCATCACTATCATTGTTATTAATTTCATCATTGTATCGATTACCCTCATTACCATTATCAAGATAATTATCATCATCGTCATAATCATCAATATCATCATTAGCATCATCACTATTATCATCATGAGACACCATAATAATCTTTATTTTCACAGTTACCATTTAACATCTAGTCATCACTGTCTCCCATTATCATTTTTGTTTCGACTATTACAAGTTAGAATTAATAGCTGTTTCTCTATTGTTACCATTCGTCGTATATGCATCTTCCTTGTAACTATTGCTTCCATTAGTAAAACTGTATCATAATATTTTTGTCTTTAATCTATTAGTCATATTTTTGTATTTGTGTATTGCGACCGTCATGATCATCGTCGTCTATTTAATTTTGAGCTAATATCTGCAAATAAAATATTTTTGGCCTATTCTGTCTCAAAATATGTCTATAACAATACCCAATAATGCCTTTTATATCAGCAAAATTTATCAGTTACTGCAATATATCGTATTACTCTTATCGTCTGTATGAAAGTATCTTATTCCCTCTCACGCTCGTAAATAGACGGTTTGCATGTTAACACCTTCAAGCATTACTGCAGTTTGTTGGAGTCAATACTCTCATTAAATAGTGGAGTGGTAATTCGTTACCCTCGTTGCGATAGACCTCCAAGGTTCGTTCTACCCAAACGGAATGCGATGCCGCTGGAGTTCGTGTGGGGTGACAGCGTCCGTGGGTGGAGGGTGTCCCCGTGGGTGTCTTCCCTGGGTGTCCCCGAGAGGAGGCCCTGGAATGCCCCCGAGGTCGCTACCTGAGCTCATACTCCACTCACCTGTGGTCTCGCAGATGGTCTTGGCGCCGGAAGGCCTTCCCGCAGATGTCGCAGGTGTAGGGCCGCTCGTCGGTGTGCGTGCGCTCGTGGATCAGGAGGTTGTAGCTCTTGGTGAAGTGCCGGTTGCAGTACTTGCAGATGAACTGCTTTTTTGGTCTGGGCGCCCGCCCTCTCCCCCCGGTCGCCCGCCGGTACCCCAGGGGAGGGTGCTGGTGTTGCTGTTGTTGCTGCTGCTGCTGCTGCTGCGCCAGCATGGACTGGTAGAGGGGGTTGAGGAGCAGAGGGTACGTGTCGGCGAGGAGCGGAAGCGACCTGACGGAGGACATGAGCGGCGCCACCTGCGCCAGGTTGGCAGCCGCCGTCGCCGCTGCCGCCGCCGACACCGCGGGAGGCGGCGGAGGTGTGGCGCCACTGGGGCGTTTCTCGCCCTCGGACACGCTCTCCGCCAGGCGCGAGAAGTCGAACTTCTTGTTGGAGGACGCGAGGGCGTCGGACGGGCGCGGCTGCGTGAGGCGCGAGAGCCCGGAGAGTGCCAGGTAGGACTCGAAGGCCGCCAGGTTGAGCGCCGCAAGGTCAGGCAGCGGCGCGCGCCCCACGGAGGGGAACACGGCCGTGAAGGCGGACGCCCGCGGCACCATCGACAGCGCCGACGCCGCGGCCAGCGAAGACACCGGAAGTGTGGGCGGCGGAGGGCGCTGGGGAGGCGGGGAGGGAGGAGAGGGGGCCGGGGCGGGGCTCAGCCATGACGGAGGCGGCGGGCGGCGGAGGCGACGAGGGCACTGGGGGCCGGGGGTCGAGCGTCATGGCGGGTGCGATCACCGCGGTGGCCGGACAGTGACTGCGGCGGCGGTGGCCAGCTCTCCTGGCTCCCGCCACCACCGGCGCCCCATTGGCGGAGCAGCCGCACGGCCACGCCCCGCACTGCGGTAGCTGTTCAGCCGCTCGACCCGCGTACCGCTCCCGACCCGAACACCCGCCGGCCGGGCTGATCCAGCTCCGCGCCCGCCTCGCCTGCCGATCCGGCCTCGCGACGCCTCAATTACGGCCCGGGAACACCATACTGGTTCCCGATCCAGAATAATGCATTCAATAACCGAGAGCAGCTCCTCCAGTTGAGCGCGGGGCGAGGCAGCCAGTCGCCCCGAAGCCGCTGAGCGCGCGCGGGAGCCCTCGTGCCCCGAGGAAGGAGGCGGGGCAGCGCGCGCACCTGAGCGTGCCCCTCGGCCATCAAAAGACAATATAAAATTCTAGATTTAGTAAAAGGTGTAAATAACATGCGTCGGAACCGCCCTAATTCATCAAAGGTTGAGACAGCTGTTATACAGGTGTTTCTGGTAATCAGAACGGCTGCTATAAGCAAGGTATATATTACTCTCGTCTACAGGTGCGGAGACGAATCCATGACAAGCAGGTGTGGCAGATGACGCTTGGTAATATTGCGTGTCACTGACAATCACTTGTCAAGTCCCTAGAGCATCCTCAGAGCAAGAAACCCCACACAGGAACCAGATCTCCGAGAGGAACCGCCGATTAGTTCCACCAATAGGCCTTTGGGAGGAAATTAGCAGATACAAACCTTGGGCACGTGTAACAAGGACAGCCGTAATAAGTATGTTGATGAGAAGTTTACCTGCCACTCTGGAGGCTCTTCGGGCAATTAGCTGCTGTAATTATGCTAAGTTGGGCAGCGTGACGTCAGGGAGAATTTGATAAAAAAGAACTTTCGGTGATTTTAGCAAAGCTGAGGTTTGCTAAAGAGCGTAGTCGTCTCATCATAATGACTCCTATGATATTACTGATATAATGCTTTCTGGCAGTCCTTTGTGACTTCCACGGCGTCTCATTAGAAATAGGAAATTAGATCCGCTAATAAATTCCTTAATAAATTTCTTCAGGATCTTACACGTGTTATCGTCGTCATTTAAGAAATAACGCATCTTTCTTTGTGTTTTTTTCTATCACCAGTCTGTAATTGAAACAAGAAAACACATCCTCTTACTTTCCAGCAAAGGGAACTAGTAATGTAATACATTAATAGTTTCATTGGGTGTAATTATTAGTTATATCTTTCGCGCCATGGATATTAATACACTCATAAACAAACACACGCACACACATTCACCCATACGTACATAATATATAGTATATATATATATATATATATTATATATATATATATATATATATATATATATATATATATAATATATATATTATATATATATATATATATATATATATATATATATATATATTGTGTATATATATATATATATATATATATATATATATATATATAATAAATATAAATAAATAAGTAGCTCTGATAGTTGATTGTATGAGATTTGTATATAAAGTGGCAATGAATGTAATATACCATAATGACTCAATATTATATATATATATATTACTAGTACGATCGATAGATAGATAGATAGATAGATGATAGAATAGATAGAATAGATGATAGATGATATAGATATAAGATATAGATATAGAATATAGATATATAGATTACCTCACGATATAGATTATATAATAGATATATTAGATATGTAGAATAAATACTCGTAAATTTATCAGATGGTAATGACAACTCATTACCACAGTAATATTCTATGTGTGTATATATATTGTCATCACACATCGCCTCACACACACACATATAATATATATATGTGTGTGTGTGTGTGTGTGTGTGTACATGATATGTATATATATTTATATATTAAATTTATAGTATATTTTTTATTAGATATATATATAAATATATATATATATAATAAATATATGTATGTCTGTATGTATTATGTGATATATATATATTATAATAGATTTATTATTTATAATTTTTTATATTATTACTATCGTATCATTTGTTATAATTATTTTATTATATATGATTATATATTTATATATATTTTTGTATATTGATATATATACGATATATATGTATATATATATTTAATTATTTATTTATATATTATACTTATTAATAATATAATAACCTGTATCTGCTCCGAGTGTACTATTATATATCCTTACTCACCTCTCAGCTCTCACTACCTATATATATATATATTATATTGTATGGAGTTTATTATATAATAGCTAATTATACCTACTCACTCACTCACTATATATAGTTCACTCATCATCACTCTAAGTTTTTATTATATATATGTGGTGTGTGTTTGTTGGTGTTGTGTGTGGTGTGTGTGTGTGTGTGTGTTGTGTGTGTGGTGTTGATGTTGTGTGTATTTGCATAGTATTATGTTGCATATATAGATATGTAGTATAAATATATATATATTACTATATGACTTGAGTATATATTATATATTATATATATATTATATATTACACACACACACACACAGATCACACTACTTCACACACTACACATTAGGCTCCACATACACAAGTTGTTTGAATCCGTGAGCCACAGTGTGTGCTCGCTGCTGCCTGGTCACAGCCACCACCCACTATATAGTGTATTATATCAGTTATCATAGTTACGCTTCACGCTCTAGTATTATGTGTATTTAGTGTAATTTAGTATGTGTGTGCTGTGTATTAGGTATCATATATGTATATTATACAGTCGATATTGTTAGCTATCGACACCACACACACTTACACCACACGTCACACACACGCACACAACTCACACACGACACACATACATATATGATTATTAGTATAGTATATAGTATATAGTAGCGTATACTCATCTATCTATATACTCACTCATAGCTGTGTGTGTGTGTGGTTGTGGTGTGTCGCCTGTGCTCGCTCGCTGTGTGTGTGTTGTGTGTGTGTTGTATGTGTGGGTGTGGTGTGTGTGGTGGTGATGTGTGTGTGTGTAGTGTGTGTGGTCGGCTGATGTTGGTTCGCTCGCGTTCTCAGGTCGCTCTGGTGTGTTGTGTGGTCTGTGGGTGTGTGTGGGTGTGTTGTGTTGTGTGTGTTGTGTGTGTGGCTGCTGTGTGTGTGTGTGTTGTGTGTGTTGTGTGTGTGTGTGGCTCGCTGCTCGCTCGCTCGCTGCTCGCACTACTATATGTACATATATAATATATACATAAATATATATAATAATAATTCACTCCTGCTACTATACTACGTAGTAATACTATATATAATACTAGTTATCTTGCTATGTAATTGTATATGTATATATATTGATATTGATTAGTAGTATGTATCATTAAATGCATATATACTGCTGATGTGTATATATGACTACTTATATTATGTATAAGTTTATATTATCTTATTATTAGTTATATAATGATTATATTGTACTTATATATTACTGCATTGAGTATAGTATGATATATGATAGTATATCTATATATGTTAGTTCATTGTGTGCTATTAACTATATATAATATAATTATTATTGTATGTAATACGTATAATATACTTCTGTGTGTGGGTGTGTGTGTGTGATGTGTGTGTGGTGTGTCGTGTGGTGTTGGTGGTTGGTATGTGTGTGTGTGTGGTGGTGTGTTGTGTGTGTGTTGTTATTTGTGTGATGTGCAATTTGTGGTGTTATGTGTTTGAATATTTACATATTATATATATTAATATTATATATATAATTATATTATATTAGATTATATTTATATATGTATGTATGTAAATGTTATGTTATGTTGTTGTGTCTTATATATACCATAATAGGCATGTGTTGGTTGGGATGCTGGGTGTAGGTGTGTGTGTGTAGTGTGTGTGTGTATCGAATCTTAAGCCTATCTGATCTATCTATTCTATTTCTAAATCTATATATATATATATATAATATTATATATAATATACATATATATATATATTATATATATAGTATATATATATATATATATATATATATATATATATATATATATTTATAAATATACTTATATATATATATATATTATATATATATATATATAAAATTATATTATGTATATATATATATATATTTATATATATAATATAATATTATATTAATATATGTATATATATATATATAATATATAATAATATGAGTTATATTTATTATTTATATTGTAGATATATTAGTATACTGGTATTATATAGTATATATATAGTATTACATACACAGCACACACACGCACACAACACCACACACGCACACAACAGACACACAAACAGCACACACAAGACAACCAACACAGCACACCACACACAGCACAGGCGCACACATATAATAATAGTAAATATATAGAACTAAGAGATATAGTAATATTTAATATATATAGACTCAATGGTATAGAACAGTAATACATAGTAACATATATATAACATAGTCACTCAAACTTAATATAGATATACAGTAACTATAAGATATATATAGTATGTAAATAAGTAGATAGTAACTAGTAATATACTAATGATAATAATAGTATATATACTATACTAATATATAATATAGTACCGCAACATATATGTTATGTACTAAAAATTAATATATGTGTATAAGTGTACATACTCAATAAACTATATAATACAGCTAAATGTTATAACATTGATATACATATATAATATATATGCATCTACATACATAATTATATATATAATTATATATATACAGAATACAATATAATGAATATCAATTATATATCTCTAAGTATGAGATGTGTAAGAGGTGGATAGTGTGTCGCTAGAGTGTGGGTGTGGTGTGTGTGATGTGTGTTGTGTGTGTGTGTGTGGGTGTGTGTGGTGTGATTTATGACGCTGTGTAATGTGATGTGTGAGTTGTGTGTGTGTGCGCTGTGTGTAGATGTGTAGTGTATAA